GGGCTCCCACCTGCGCCCAGCAGTCGTTCCGTGAGCCAAGTGTAGATCGCTGGTGCTGTTGCTGGCCATGGCTGTAATCCATTGAGGGCGCAGCTACGGGTGTATGAGCGCTGTGCGGAGCGGTACCCTTTTCTTGTTCCCTCTGCCAGACCATTCCAGACCAGCTTAGCATGACCAGCACTCACGAAAATAGGCTGGCTGGAGAACCAGGCTGGCGGAGCAAGGGAAAGGAGCTCGTCCACTGTGGGCAAATGTCAGCGATGGAACCATAGTCGGAACGGGATAATGCGTCAGCTAGCAGGTTTTCTGATGAAGGTAGCCAGTGTGGCTGGATTTCTATGTCAAGGGCGGCTGCTATACTGAAAAGCATGAGCAGTTGGCGATGGGCCGGCCCGCGGAGTGCCTGCTTAGACAGGCCATGGAACGCGACGGCACTGTCCGTAAAAGCGAGGACACGATGATGAGCCCAATGGAGGCTGTGTAGAAGGAAGGCCTGCAGAATTGCGGTAACCTCCTTGGTGTTGATGTGGGCCTCGCTAGCGCAGACGGAGGAGGCGTCCACAATAGCGGCGTGAGTGGAAGGCAGGTAAGGTGCTGCAGACAACCAGTCTCCGGCGGAGTCCCGTGAGGGCGCAAAAAAGAAGAAGAGGCCCAGACCGGAGTCACACGCGTCTGTGTAGAGGGCAACTAGGGGGCGGCTCTTCTTAAAGAAATGGATTCCGTTGAAAAACGGGATTGTGTCCGTCCACCACGCGAGGTCCTCGCGGCTATCATGGGATAGGCGGCGGAGAGAGCGCTGGTGAGGTGGGAAAGATGCGAGGTCGCTGTAGAGCGACTGGAGGCGGGGTCTGCCAAGACGAATGACCATTGAGCAGTGTTGGAGGAAACCGATCACACGTTGCAAGGCTTTATGCGAAACACGATTTTGCTGTAATAGCGACGCGGCCTCGGAAGATGCGCGTGTTAGCTTATCGCGAGGCATGCGGGCCTGTAGAAGTGTTGTGTCGATTTCGATCCCAAGCACATTGACCACGGTACCCGCGGCGTCTTTGGTGTTATTCCTTGGGATGCCTAGTGCATCTGTAAGAGGAATGTAAACGGTATTGAACTCGACGATAGCCTGAGAGATATCTCCTACAGAAGGAGGAAAAACAGTGATAAAATCGTCAAGGTAATGGACGATAGAGGCCCCAGGTAAGTAGGCAGTCAGAAGCCAGTTGAGACCCTCAGCAAAGAGATTAAAGATGAAGGGTGCAGTTGCAAGACCAAATGGAAGGCAACATTCCATGTATGTCTTGCTATCCCACGAAAAGGCTAGGAGAGGCCGGTCGGCCGGTGCGACGGGGATATTGCGGAAAGCATCTTTGATGTCGCGTTTGATGATAAAGCATCCTCGTCCAGAGGTGCAGGTGAGTTCGAAAATGTGATCTATGGAGATGTATTGTATGGCAGAGGCGATAGCCGGGATAGACTCGTTGACACTGCACCCTGGCGGGTAGGAAAGGTCATGGATACGGCGCCAGCTTCCGTCTTGTTTAGGTACGAGCCCTAGTGGGGACACAACAGCGGGACCAGTGCAAACTTGCACTCGACGATTTGACAGGTCATCGGAGAGCTTTTGGGTGATAATAGAGGGTTCCTCAATATGGTGATTAGATGTTCGGCGGTCTGTCGGCTGGCCCGTACAACCAAGGCGGCAGCCGAATGTGAGAATACCGCTACAAATAGTCCCTAGATCGCCAGGATATCGTTCAAGGAGAGTTTCCCACACTGAACTGATAAAAGGGGAAGCAGAATCACGCAGGGGCGGGAGAGAAGAGTCAAAGATCTCAAACTGGATAGAGGTGTTGGGACGCGGGGCTGGCCAGCTGGTTGGCGGTGATAGCGTTTGAAATATATCAAGGCAGACCGCGGCGTGGTCCTAACTCGCTGGTTTCACTTTGCAGCTTATCATAGAGTGTTCGTTGCCACACTTAGAGCAGACGTGCCTACGGTGACATGTTCGCCAGTGACAGCCAGCAAAAGAGTTGAACTTTTCACAGATGACAGAATCGTTGTTTGAGGCGGCGGTTGAGCGCGTTGACCGTGTGGTTGGGGTAGTCGGCGCTGTCTTTGCTGGGAGCACGTTATCCGGGCGTAGGTAGGAGCTTTCGAGAGCTTTCCCAATTTCCCAGTCGCCAAGAGAAACGGCAAGGTCGCCTTTATCGACGACCATCTGATGGTGGTCTAAGGCCATTTGCAGGATACACTCCTGCCACTTATATGCCCTGGCAAGGTCACAAATACGGCGGTGGAAAAGGACCATTCCACTGATGCATAGTGAGTGCTTGGCAGCGAAGAAATCACACCAGATGGCGATATAACTGCTAAAGCAGTGGGCCCACAGGGATGCGTCATTGCCCCAGTCCTTGATTGACCCCAGTCCTTGATTGAAACCACCTTGCGGAATTGCAGGCCAGACGATGTGGACTTCAAGTCGAAGGACTCGCCATCCGGTGCCGAGGCTTTGAATTCGGGGCTGCGAAGTTTTATGAGGTCCTTCTTTGGGCGGAAGGTGTGTTCAAAAACGGCTATAATGGCAGCACGGTCGAGACCGGGGAAGCGGGGGAGGACTGGCAAAACAAGAGACGGAACCCTACCGTCGTCGATATCCTCCTCTGTGGTGAGATCTATACGTGGGCGCTTACGCTGCCCGTCGCCCGCAACGAGGGAAGCGGACACTGTGGACATAAACGAATCGCGTTGGGTATCAGAGAGAGAATTCCAAATATACTCCGGTGGATAGAACGAGGAGCCCAGGGTGGTCTGTCCCCCAGGAGTAGTACTGGGGGCCTCGGAACTATGTCGCACCATTGCAAGAGGAACTCTTGAAGAAGAAACCGCTGCGAAGAGAGCCCAACTCTCCTTCGAAACGGCAATGTTCCTTTCGAAGGAGAGGATATACGAGCAATATCTGTGTGCGATTATAAGCACGGAATATCGTGGACCCGACGCAAGGGGGAGGGGCTCTCCGCAACAATCCCGAATAGAACATATCATATAATATGGTGGGGTGGCCGGCCCGCTTGGGTGGCCGGCTCGCATATGAAACACGTTATGACGCGGTTGGATGTTGACCGTTGCCACTTCACCGCCCGGGAGTCACCCGCACTGAACATGTTGATTCACGATTCACTGGTCATGTCCCCATCACCATCATCACCAATTCTCAACCTTTACTCACCTCCAGCCTTCACCATCAGCATGCCCTCACCATAAAAAAATCAATGTGATCAACATGCCCTCACCATCATGACCGTCAAAACCGTCAACACCATCGACACAACGACACACCACCCACCCACCGTCGAAAATCCGTATCTCCCTTCATTCGGACGAATTCTGCTGCCACTCCAGCCAGCAGGGACAAATAGTCAAACCAATAGAGACCACTTGAATTTCAGCCGCCACCCCGACTGGCCACCCCACTATCAGCCATGACTCGACGCTCTAATTCACACTAAGTGGTGGAGATGTCCAATCTTGAAGCTCAGGGCATGATAGAGCGCTACAAAGCGCATTTTTCGAACCAGTCATGTACGGCGGCATCTACATACAATACTGAAGTCATTTAACACCATTTTTTGTTGGATTCTTGATTCTATCGATTCTTTGGAGCAGGTCTTGGCTTCTTCGAGGATTCCCCCGAATACTGGTCTCTGACACCACGAAGAGGTGCCTGCAATCGCCAGAGGATCAGGACGAGGACCGCGGCGCCACGGGTCGCCTAACGAGCGCAAATTTGATAACGCAGGGCTCAAGGCTGCATGGAAGCTCAAGATTATACAATCACAGGGCTCAAGGCTGTGAGGGAGAACTTGGTGTCGCAGATGGCCCTGCGGGTCTCCCTTGGTATCGCAGCGTCCCCCTGCGGAGACTCTTGGTAACGCAGAGCTTATCCTGCGAGGCACACCCGAGTGGCTCGGGAGTGTGAGGAGGAAAGTCCTGCTGTTCTCTTCGACGGGAAAAGAGCGTCTTTTATGTCATTTCGGGTACATTTTGCGACAGCGACCACTTGCGTATATTTTGCCTGACCCAGAGATTCCCACTCGACACTCGCACCGAGCGACCGCCTTTTTGCTGGGCGTTGAGGCGGTTGATTCAACGTTGAAATAAGAAATTTCAAGCGTTTAGGGTGGAGAGCAGGTGGAGTGGCTGGATCCACCTGGAGCCGTGGTTGACACGAAGCTATGCGTGACAAATCATTTGCCTCATCAACGTTGATTCACCTTGGTCAAAGGCCTTCGACGCAGTTGGTATCAGGCTTAGACCGAAGTGGCATTCCATGGACCACTCGCCGTGGCAGCCTAATCATCGTAGCTTGAAAAGTCTGCCAGTATTCGCTCGCACCGTGGCCAATCGATTTGCGAATCATTGGTCTCAACATTGCTCAACGATGTGAAACGGTTTTCACGCAGCTAATATGTAGAGTCGCTCCATGGAAGACTCGCCTTGGCAGATCGATTGCCCGCTCACGGAAATCTTCGCTAGCAAAACTTTTGCTCTCGCCTCCGTGAGAAAAAAATGCTTTCCCTCAGCCTGGCCGACATATTTTCCGCCGCAAGTCGCAGTCACTGCAACGCCTCCTGCCGCTCAGATCTTAATTCCACTTGCCAGCACAGGACGACCAGGGTACTTCGTGTGCCCACACCCACAAGCCGGCCGGGGTACCATCGATGAAGAGATGTCGACGCCGACTCCGTCGTCGGAACATGATTTCGTCGCGCGCCAATAGAGACTCCGCCGCTGCTCAGCATTCATGGTCTCCATAATCAATCTGCTACCGGTAAATAACCTCGGGGTTTTCTCGAAATTGGATATTTCCATAATTGACTGTCGAAGGTCTTCGAAGCGCTTTTTGGAATATTGCCGGGGATTGAAAGCTAAGGGTAAGCTAAAGCTAAAGGTCGGAGTGCCTTCGCTAATTACGGTCGATAGAGTTCGTAGAGATTCTGTTCCCCATGCTAGGACTGCCTTTGGTGCCTATCCCTTTTCGAGCGCAACATATGATCCTCCAACCCTGCAACGCCACCTCGAGCATTCCGCTTTCCAATTTGTTCAAAAATGGCTTCTACCACAGTCTTTGGCTGTTGGTTGGACATGCCCCGAGGCACTGGAGCTGCATAAGTTCTTCAAATTCTTAGCTAGAAACCGATCCAAGATCTCGTCTGAGCAATATGGTGAAAATATCACCACTGTTCAGAACTTGCGCCATTCGATCGCCGGCATTCGCCACGCCGCTGTTCATCGCTTGGCCCAAGACAGAGATAGTCTGCTTGAGAAGAATTGTGCTGCCATCGAATTCTGCCTTCGCATCGGCGAAAACCATAGTGCAGAGAGTCTTTGTCGTCTCTTTGATTTTCTACAGAAAATCCTCCCGAAGTCAAGCATGGTGCAAGTGCAGCCACAGCAGTCTGTTCCCTCTCATCCTCATTCGCCCGAGCTCTCTCTCCGCACACGACTACAAGAACGATCGATGATCCCCACTGACGTGATAAAGAGACTCGTTGGATGTATCGAGGAGGACTTGATCTCAGAGGTGATGCATTTCTTGCAGATTGGGTTTCCGTGAGGCGTGGTGCGTGGACCGGTCCGGTTTATGTTCGTGACCTTATTGAGTTGCGTCCTGTACCTGAGCATGGTCAGCCCAAGTAAAAAAAACCTCTATGTACTCTAAACATTGATTTCCCATGTATTTCTCTTTAATTGACTTCAATACTTGTAGTCTTCGAGATGTGTTAAGAAAAGCGGTTACTTCGTTTGAACACAGCATTTCAGGATTATCTCTCGCATTTGGACGTACGCTTGAACAAAAGATCAGATCTCCATCACATTACTCGACGATGCTATATAATGCAAAGACAATGCTTTCAAAGTGCGAGAGGAGGTACCAGCAGCAGCTGAGCGACTGCATACTATAAGCAGCCCCGAGGAAGTGCGATCTATTTTCACAAGGAGGTCCCATTGATGTCACGAGCCCAAGGCAGCAGATACAGCAGATACTCCCGGAACAGCATATCGGCAGTCTTAACTCTGGAGCGTGATGTGCATAGGGAATCTCAGCAGTGTCATTGATGTTTCAACGTTGATTTCAGTGATGCTTCATCACCAGTAAAGCGATCTAAACGTGCTGCCAACGTTGTCTTCGGCATAGCCATGTCAAATAGACTGGCCTGTGATTTCCTATGCTTTTCAGAGCCGGTTATCTTCCGTGACCAGAGATTCATGGGCTATAAATTTCCTACTCATCATCGACTTCTGAGAAAATAACTTTTTTTTCTCCGCCTCATACCCAACACATCTTCTCTGGTCCCACAAGGTAGGCAACGAATCTCGATGTAAGGAACCAGCACCTGCTGATCTCTATGACTTTCCAGAAGAATATCACGGTCATCACGAGCCTACAGCCAACCGCCACGATTAAGACTCCACCAGTCGCAAGACTGAATCTATGTTCTCCGAAAAAAAATCAAAGCCTAAATCACCGCCAAGGAGGCAATTTTCTGGAGTTAAGAGAAAGTCTCCTGGAGCAGTTCCAACCACTTGGCTGGATGTTATGAATGCAGATAGATCCAAAATCGAATTCAAGGAAGCCGAAGTCTATCATTATTATCTGCATGACTTCAACGCAACTGCGGAGTTGTCAGACTTCCAGCATAATATGATGATTTCCGGCCTACCACATAAATTGATTCAACCTTGGTACTACAAGAGAGATGTCCAAACAGAGTTATATACACTGTCGTTCACTGCCGAGATGGTTGCGATTTCGAACCAACTTGCATCAAAAGGTGAGTTATGTTACGCCTGATCCGGTATAAAAATGATTGTGCTTTAACTGACCGGCAAATTCCTGAGCCACAGTGATTGAAGTCAACAATAAGATAATTGGAAAGGCTAACCAGAGAACTCGAGCGCTTCAAGATATTTTGAACAAATGGAAAGAATCAACACATCCGAATACATGTCCATCAAGCCTAGTTTTGGAGCAGGCCCAGCATGATCAAGGCTTAGGGTACGCGGCAGTTCCCAATAAAGAGACTCTAGTCGGGAAAGCATGGTCAGCCCTGAAGGAGCTCAAAAGAGCGCATCGCATGTGGCGCAGGAGGAAATTCCGAAGTAGCCTTCCCGGCAAGCTTACCAGACGGAGTTTCCACGGTAGGAAAACAATGCCAGCTTCCAGGATAATGGCGAATAAACTGCTCGGAAGAGTCCCCATGAGAATGGGCCAGAGGAAAAGGCTACATAGCCGAAATGGTCGGCGACTCACCCTTCCAGATGCACCGTTGTGGGTGCCCGCGGAAGGTTCTATAAAACGACAGGGTCTTAGTTGCCAACCGGGGCCCCTGATGGAGCATCCCTATCCACAAACAGAGAATTTCAACCATACCCGTCTGCATGAAAATCTTAGCGAGGAGAGCGGAAATCGCAGAGAATCCCTTGAGGAGGCGAGCAATGGATGTGACAAGACCTGTTTTGATCGGCAAATTAGCCTCCCCGAACTACGGCCAAATATCGTGAGCCCATTCAACGACAGGGAGAAGCTGGCTGAACATGAGCCAATGACCAGGCATGAGTCAATGACCATGAGGCCTACACCTCTGAATCCGGGGGCTGAAGCCAAGGAAGGCCAGAGCAATACTGGCATAGGACGCTACGGTAGAAGAGGAAGTACCGATCTACGGGACGGAAATGATGAACGCGTGTCAGTGTTGACAGACCCAGTCAACAACACAGGTCTCACTTTTCATGTTAACACTGTGACCGGAGATCGTCAACCACAGACAATATCTCGAAATTCTCCAAAGGAATTTCCAAGACCTTACCCCTCAGAGACTGCGAAACACAGCGAAGAAGCCGTTTGCCAAGGGCCAGGCGGGTCCAATCTGCCGGGTGGAGTCCCATCTTCTGTGACACATCAATTGGATACTTCGGCCACTTCTACGCATAGAGAAAGAAAGGGCACGCCAATCCATAAATCAAATCTAGAATTCCAGATTATAAATAGACCTCAACCAAGTAAGTGACGCAATAAATACCATACAAAAGGCTAGAGCTGATAGAGAAAAAGCCCGATCCCGCAATCGTCGATGGGCAACCCAGGACCTGGAGCGCTTACCATTCTGGTTTACGCAAAGAAGACATTTGAATAAGGAAGAGATCCAAGCTGAGTTTCTGGCAGACTTTCAACATGAGAGGAGCTTTGGAGCAATTCATACTGCTTTCAAACGACAAATGAGGATGTACCACGAGACAAACCACGCGAACAGGATGCCACATTTTGTTCGAGATATTGATCAACCAAGTCGCTACTTTGTCGCAGCCGATAAACTTCATGCATCCAGCGTCACAACTCGGAGATGGACAACTTCAGGATTGTCGGAGTTTGCCCCCAGAAGGTATGTACTGCACATAAGACCCATTGTTCCAGGCTCACAATAGCTAACTTTGATTATCTTTCCTTTTAACTAGCCCCCACACCAGAAATTCTCACAGCCATCCCTGGGAATCCGGATGGCATAGAGGGCTTCTCAGAGAGGGCATACCTGAGTGAAAGCCCCTCCACGATTGCATACCGAGCGACCACTACAGAAAATACTCCCTTCTCTCCTTCCTTTTACGACCAAGGAAAATGAGCTGCTGTCTCCCGGCCAGAGTACAGATATGTTTTGTTGCCATTTGGAATTTGCCATTCAAATTCCGAGTGTGTGTTCTTGTGAAAATTTGTCTTATGCCTTTTGCACTGGTATACTCATATGCTGAAAATTCCAGGACCGTCCTATCGTTAACCCCAGAACTATTGTCCTTCCACATAATAGGGACATCCCAAGCACCGTTTTCCCCTTCGTCTTCTTTTTAGTAGTCTGGTTGTTTTAAGGCCGTCAAACCCAGCACGCGAAATACAGGTTTTTGAGCCTTGAATTGCTCTTTTTTTACATGATACCTATGAATTCTGGGACACCACCTGTCAAAATATAATAAGTTTTTGATGGGCTAGTACACGCATAGCTCGACGAGGACAAGATCCCCTTCGAAATAACTGCTCACTCTACGTGCAGCTTTCCTGACTGCGGTCTTTCCAAGGTCTCAATTTACTCCAAAAGATTACCATTTGATGACCTTCGCTTTTCTCTCGACCCCGATCTCATGGTAGAAATAGAAACATTCACTTACATCGCTTTAGGGGCCGAAACCCTTGCAACTTGGGCTTCACCGATTTGGCTAGGTCCGACATCGCTAATTTTTATACTGCCACGTCCTCCACATCAAAGACCATTCATGCCACGTCGTTTGAGGGCTTACAACGTGCGGCAGCACGCGTCCCCAGTGGAGGCCGTCGCCGTGTAAACGTGTCGAAGCACTCTGCGTCCCCATTGGCCTATCTACCCATACGGTTGGGACGCTAATACCAAAAGAGGGAGGGTCCTCTAACGCAGGCATAGTTGAAAGTCTTTGCATGAATATCCATAGATACTATTCATAAGCTCATTTCGAATTATCCTTCTGTTCTAAAAGGGCAAGAAGTTTCATTTGCAGTTCCTTCTGTTCTGCTTCTCGCTTCTCTTCCCGTGCCTTCTGTTCTGCTTCTCGCTTCTCTTCCCGGAGCTTTTGCTGTTCTAGTTGAGCGAGAAGTTTCTCCTTCTCGGTCCTTCTGTTCAGCCAATTGTTCTTGTAATGTTTGAACCATCATGCGTAGCTCCGGTTGCAAACCACGATTCTGCGAGGATGCAGCTCTGCGATACCCCAGACGTTCCTGCGATCCACCCACGGAGAGCTGAGAGTCAGGCCCGTCGACAACGACACTTAAAGAACCCTCGTCTGGGTCCGGAACTCCTTCAAGTATGCGCAATAGCCGGTGAGTATGGATAGGCAGAAATTCGCGGTCCACGTTTTCCACGAACCGATAACATGTCCACCGATCCTCTTTGGTCCAGATGTTGGGTTGTGCGACCGGCCAGCGGTAAAATGACACTTTGCCACCATCGACCTCAGGATAGTAGCCGTATAAACGAACGCCTTCGAGCTCATGAGAGACCGAAAACCCCAAAATCCGTCGATGCACCTCTTCCGTGCAGCCCGCCGCTTGGCACAGAGAGACCACAGCCCGTAGGGCAATGCACATACTATGCATATTCTGCCGGTCGGCAAGCTCCAACGCTTGGTTCCCGCATTTGATTTCTGCTGTCAAGTAAGGGAAGTACATATCCTCTCGCGCCGTATACGGTGATTTCTCGTCCGGCTTGATCCCCAGTTTGCGCCGCTGGCTCTCGGAAAAGGTCGACCACTTCAAGCCGCGCGCGTGGTCCGGCTGCGGTTTCGGACCATATATTGGCTCGGTCTTCAGCCACGGATCATTGTATCCATCAATCACGTCTTTCAAGGATTCATTCCCCTGGATGTACTGATTTTCCGCGGATGGCATAATGAGAGGGTGCAGGTCAACCAGGAGACGCGCTTCAGATCGATTCCGCAATGCATTGTGGAAATCCGTGATGTACAAGTCGTCGAAAAGTGTACCGGTAGGAGGCTCCACCGGCTGACCGAGAAGACGCTCACAAAGCGCAATATCGTCGGGCACCGGGCCGGCGGGGGACGGTCGCATGAAGCAGCCCTTGGTTTCCAGAATAGTGACATAGTTGACGGCTCTGTATGCATATGACCTGGTGTCCCGAGCCGAGCTGCTCTCGCTGTTCTCCGACGAAACCGACCGAGCACGCCCCCGATCCGTTGAGATCGAACGTGATCGGGACCTTTTCGATGACGGTTGACTCATTGTCTCAAGCGCGTCGACCTCCGATGGGGCAGGTATCCACTGATATATTCCGTCCGTGAGCTCGGTGGGCGCATGCGTGAGAGACGGAGGTGCTGTTCGATGCTCTAGGGTATTGGGATTCTATGCAGTCAGTCATATGGCTATTGAGAGACGAGATTGAAAACTGACTTCGCTGTTACAATCAGGCGAGAGTGGAGAGAGTGGCTGCTGTACTCTGCCGGGGTCTTGCCCGAGCTTCAAGGGCCCTGGATTCGTGCTCGAGCTTCCTCGCCGGGGCACTTTCGCTGGTCGCTCATCACTCTCACTATTGCAGCCTCGTGATTCAGACGCGGCTTCACGTTTCATGTTTGTCGATGTGACCAATCGAAGGAGATCATTTTCGTGACTAGAGATCACACATGCACAAGAGTAAATAACCGACTCCGTTTGATCAATCAGAAGGAGTCGGGCATCAAGTGGTGACAGGAGGTCGTTGACCAGGATTAGCGCGGCCTTGTTTCTTGGCATGGCTTGGGCGCGAAGATAAGATATCCAATCAACTTCATCATGGACCCACTCGTTGCTGGAACCGGGGTGCGATCTCGTCACAACACAGCACGGAATTGAATATATGCAACTCCTAAACTTCAAAATAATGACTCGATGCTTAAACCAAATATATCCGTGTATGTACAATTAGTTATGCTCCACTTGATGAACACGATCTTAGAGCTTGGTCAAAGCCTGCCGTGGCCTAATTGCCGCTCCTATCGTTAGACTGCCTTTGGGGCGCGCGGCTGCGATAGTTGTGCCCCGGCGAAGTGTCGGGATGAGGAATTGATGTACTGGCTAATACTGAACATTTCCAATAGAATCAAGGTGATTGATTGATTGATTGATTGATTGGAGGTCCAAAGATCGGTTGAGCGATCTCTGAGTCTACTGTCCGTGCTCTAATGTGTTGCGACACCATATCCAAACTCAGTCCGAATACCATACCACTACTTGGGGAAATGGAGTGAACGAGGAACAAGCCTATCCTAAAAGGCCATAGCAGTAATTGGCCGCTTTTTCAGTTTGTCAGAGACTGGTGATATTCATAAGGTACAGGTTGAACATGGTGCTGGCTCCGAGCCGGTGAAGAATTGCCACCTCCGAAAGGTAATTTCGGAACATATCACAAGGTACTAGAAGCTCGCGAATTGTGTTTAGAACTGAAGCATTACAAGTCTGTTTGTACAATCTTGCCGTAGTCGGCCCCTCGAAAATAACCCATTTACTGTCCACCAATGCTCAGTGCACCCGTAATACAGCAAAAGAAGGAGTAGTACACTGGCATGAAGCTGTATGTGCAAAAAGTGGGTAGCAAAACTAACTATTCGTTCCGGGCATTTCCATTTCAGAAAGAACTCCTAGAAAGTTATGTCCGATTCCTGGGAGCAATAAGGATTCTGAGCAATTTTTAACTTATCTATTTTGCCGATCATCCCAGCAGCTGGGGCTGAATGGCATTCCTTGCCTGCTCCTAGGATAGTATGGTTATGAGGTATGCATTGACGAGCTGGAGCCAGAAAGGAATTGTAGGCAACCAACTTTTGTCATGTGAGGGCTCGCAGGAACGACACATTCGCATATGCCTCTATTTTATATGGAAATTATTTATATGCTGGTGCCCAAATGATCGTCCTATTGTCCCCTCTCTTTTACTGTACCTACTCATCCTCAGTCTGAATTGATCCCTGAAATTGTGCAGCTCAAGCTTCTGGCTAGATTCATCTCGATTTCCTCGTTTTCAACTCCACCATGTCTCAACATACCGATATATCCCGCATCTTTGTTCGTCTTTGGGTCTTTTCTCTCACCACTATTTGGCTGCTCGTCGCTGCTTTTAATTCCGTCACTGCTCATTTCGCAGATACTTTGCGAGATCAGGTAACAGCTGGCCTCAATGAATCCGACGGCCCCATCTTGTACGACGCATTCCGAGAGCTTATGAGGGACTTTCGCAAGGCAATGGTTGTTGTCGCGCTTTCCTCGGTTCTCTTCTTCTTGTTTGGTTTCACACTTCTCGGTCACTCAAGTTGGGTACGAGATGGGAGGACTACACTTGACAACTTCTTTATTACCCAATTAATCCTCGGGGTGGTTGTACTCGCTTTGG